ATTCCCAACGCACTGGGAGGAATAATGCTCAAGCACTGAATTGATAGATGTAGGCAAAAAGATACATAATGATTGTTTATTCAAAACAGGAAAAGTGGATATTTGACGTTAGTGTAACTCATTCCTGGTATGAACAATATTGATAAAAGGGAAACATAAAAACGCGAAACTGATTCAGCTTTAGGCTGGGAAACCACTAGTGTAGGACTGTTTCCGACTTCCGTCTTCAAACTACTCATTTGGTCGAGCAATGGAAAAGCAAATGAGAGTTAGGATAAGCAAAACTGATTACCTGAATTGTTTCATATATAAACTGAGCAACGGCATAAGCACGGCACTTCACAGCCAAGGTGAACGGAGTAAGATTTTCGGTATTTCGCGCCGTGAGCAACTGAATCAGATACGGACGTAGCTGTCGACTCTCGAGCAACAGACGAATAATGCGATAAGACGCAACACGTCTGGTCAATTCATCTTTGCGAACCGGAGGCAAGTGCCAAAANTTCGTTCCATTTGCCAAAGAACGAGGATCTCGGTCGTCAGAGCGTACCTGTGTACTACCTGCAGAGGCAGCTGCTGCTGCCGCTGCCGCCACCGAGGCAGCTTCAATGGATGAGCGAATAAACAGCTCATGCATGCTCAAGCCACTCGACTGTGACGTGGTCCGGGCGATAGATGACCTAAATTAAACAGGAGTGGGGAAGCAAATGAATATTGAGAATAAAAACTTTCCGTTATAATTCTGAACTGGCACTGGTACAGGAAGCATTCATTTCTAAACAGCAGTTTTTAAAGTCACACGAATACAGAATGAGCACAAATTTGGTCCGCGTCGATCCGAACGATGAGAAGTAAAGAAAAGTTGAAATAATTAGTCCAAACACAACTGACCAGAATGTGGAAGATGGTCGTGAAGCAGTGGAACTATTCGGCACTGACACAGTACTTGTTTTCGCTCCGATTTCTTTGGATGGGACTGATACAGACTCGGGGACAAGTTGGACAGGTCCGGAAAGAACAGAATCCAATTTGGCGGCCCACTCAGAAGAAGTCTCGCAATTGGACTGTGGAGCGCACATAGTCACTGCCATGTGAAGCAGATTTCGTTGGCCGTCGACCACTTCGAAAGCCAAATTTCGAGTAGTTTCGACTGGCAATTCGTTCTCCGGTGATAACTAATGGTTACACCCAAGATAAACGGAAATGGGCAACCGTTAGCATAAGAACTAGTGAAATGTGGCTAGTATGCACATTGATACCAGCAGTTAAACGCAAGTTAAACCATGTTAAATGAACTATAATAGACATAACAACTGCAGGACTTACCAAACGTTCAACTTGTACATCGTTTGCTCTAAGCACGTGTTGCATCAGCGGTAAATCACGCACAATTACGAGGCCTAGTAAGCAACGCGCTGGAGTGGAATGATCGGCTGAACACTTGTTCGACTGCCCTCGACTGACTGGGTTTGTTAATCCAGTCAGACCCGAGAAAGAGGACACAACTCGACTTGGAACCCAAGCAAAAGCAGCACACTGCACTGGTGGAAGATCAAGCAACGCGACCGTAGTTGAAGCAGTTTCTTGAACTGCACTGCCGCTACTACCAGATCGAGTTGCGGGCACGAACGGGTAGACTAAACCGGAGCAATCTCGAAGCAGTAATGGAGGCTGGAACGGTAAGCAAAACGAGGTGAAAATTTCCGGAACAGTTATCACAACGTCAACAAACCTCATGAAGGTAATCATATTAAAAGACTCACCTCAGACGGACAAGTCAATGTAGTTTTCTCCAAATCAGACTTGCCAGTCTGTAGTCCGAAAGTGGAGGGCAATTTATGATTAAGAACCAATCGGCCGGATAGATTGTATGCTTGGTAAGTGAGGATATTAGGCCGTGGAAGGCTTTGTTCAATCACCACATGAATACGATTGTTCTCGGGCATAAGAGTCAATACTTTGGAACGAGTCGATTCTAACGAAGTCCCACGACCGGTTCCAAGGTTAGGAATGCGTCTTGGGGTGCGTTGGACGAATTCCGGGACACG